TCGGTGGGGGACCACATGTCCCTCACAAGCTCTGTTTTCGGCTGGGACGGTCTCCTGAAACCCTCTGCCAGAAAAAATGAAGCTCGGGCCAGCTCTGTTTTTGCTGGCAGAGGCACCATGGGCTGGTCCTTCGCTGTTTCCAGGGCAGCCCCATTATAACCACGTTTGAGTCTAACATTTCCATCGTTAAGTGAGACATTTGTAAAGTAAGTTTTGCCCCATGTGACAAACTTTCTTGCTATAGTTGTGAAGTGAATCATTGCAGTTGTTAAATTAATAACATGGTTGTTAGGTGAGGCTTCCCCATTGATTTTGCTTGTCAGAAAGTTTCAAAAGGTGATCCCATGATCGTGGCACACTGCAACCGTCATAAATACATGTCAGTTGCCAAGTGCACGAATTCTGGTCACATGATCATGGGGATGATCACACTTTCCTAAGTGTGCAAAATGGTCATAAAGTCACTTTTTTCAGTGCTGTTGTAACTTTCAAACAGTCCCTAAATGAACTGTTGTACATCAGGGGCTACCTGTATTTATACATTGTATAAATATAATGTATATTATAGAAAATATAGTAATACTATATGTAATTGTACATAACTTTATATAATTCTATGAGAACTTAATTCATAAGTTTAAGATTCATAAATTATCATGAATTAATAAATACACGAACTTTTAGCTATTTTCAAAATGGCCTCCCTTGAAAGTTCAAGTCCAGTGAAAATTATATATTCCTAATGCTACATCTCTATACATCTCTATATACTTTTGCCAGTCTGATGCGGGTATTGGGCAGAATGCTTTAAATTTCATTCCAAATTACAATGAAGGATGCTCACCTGTTAAATTGTAACTATATTGAAAACAATTTTGATTCAGAATACAAGGTCTCTGCTGTGCACTTTCGGGGCATGTCTTGGGTTTTAAAGGCATTCGTAGTATATGTCGAGTCCTTGTTTGCCTTAAACTGGGATCACATCGCTAGAAAAAAAACATGGGTAAGTGAATTATGCAAGCACATGTTTACAGTTGTGGCAAGGATGGTTACCTGCATTATTAATTTAATTGGTTTTCAAATTGCCTATCAGGCTAAAGAGTCTCTTGTGAATAATCTCATTATATAACATCAATGCTTTCCCCCTGAATTTGACAGTCATCTAAAAAAAAAACAACCTCTCTGTATGTCCATAGGGGAAGAATCATAACATGTGGCTGAGGATTTTTATGGTGGTCATCCAAACAATCAACCAAGCTACTGCTGGCTTATTAATTATTTTGGAACCATAGAGAATGAAAAAGAAAAAAAAAGGTACCATCATTTTTGTAGATCAGTCTTATAACTGTCTTCATTTTTTCTTTTCAATTAAGAAAAAAATTGTTATAGTAAAATGTGAACTCCTTTATTCATGAAAATATGTTTCCTTCAATTCTCTCAAATTGAAAATATATTTTATCCTGTTTTTAAATCACCCATGCTATGCTGAAGATGTTTTAGCTGATAAAGGTTTATGAAAAAATGTGCTATTTTCCCCAAATCATTAAGATGCTATATTTGAATAAAAGAAGACAATATCAGCCACTACTGAAAAACATCCACTTGGCATTCTTTTACTGTTCATTAAAAATATACAGATATACATATTTAATTATCTTCTCCAACTGCACTGTCACAATCCTCTCAAACATGTTGCCCATGAAGGGTGTTTTTAAAAAGGACTAAATTAACAGTTTCTTCAGAAGTGGATGGACCCACTGTTTTCTTTTTAAGACTTCTGGCCCCAATCTGTCACATAAAGAAATATTTTCCCTGCCTGGATCTGCCTAGTCATTTTTCTTAAATAAGCTAAGATAGACAGAGCTCTAGTATACATTTTCTACCTGTATTCTTAGGCCCGTAAACTGAAAGTTATCCCATGCAATTTGATTAGAAATACTTTATTTCAAAACAGAATATTTTTCTCAAAGTCCCTCACAGATCCATCTTGGCAAATCTCCATGAATTGCAATACAAGGTTTTCCAATGATTATAATCCCAGAACCAATCCAAAGAACTCTGTTGGAAAGCTACTTGAGAATGCCACGGAGATCATAAAATAAGTTATTTTTCTATTATACATTTATGTTCTAGCCATCTCCTAGTCTATTTCATCACAGAGTGTCCTAGGAAAACCAGAAGTCCACACAAAGCATTAATCCTGCCATTTACTCTATCTTGCAGGACACAAATAGTTTGGGGCTCTGGAGAATTCTCCCAGACCATTCAAAGTTCTATCCCAGTCCATATATCTTTGGAGACATCATCTTCATAGGACCTTCCCCTTCCCCTTCTCTTGCAAGGGAGGAAGACACAGTTGCGCTATTTTGGAGGCAAACAAAATCACGCCATATTGCAAGATGAGACTTTTTTTTTCCAGGCACAGCAAGAAGACACCTTTGCTGGCTAAGGAAGATTCCACTTGCTTGCTGGTTGATTGTTTCTCTTTTTCTTCTTAATGAGGCATTTAATATGTCTCTCCCTGCCCCAGGGCACAGTTACATGGGTACTTTTGGGTAGCAGCAGCAAAGTGAATAGGCAGTAAGTGGAGTAATTTATTAGCTTCAGATGCTCCTAAAGGGCAATTAGCTTGGCATACAAATGTCCTAACCTGCTTTATCATGATGCTGGGGGTAATGGAGTTGCTTAAGTGATTGAGAATGGCAGAGCTACAACACAAATGAGTGGCACATTCTAAGCCATTCCATGACAGTGGTAACCCTGTTATTGATGCCAAATGAAGCAAACTTTATCAGGAAGTAAAGAGCAGAAAAGCAAACCCCCCCTCTAAATATAGAAATACATTTCAAAGCGCAATTGCATTTTCTCAAAGGCGTTTAATTAATAGAAATGAGTTTGGAGGAATCAAGCGCTGAAAACCATGGACTGGATGAGATTATAACCCAACCGGATCAAACCCACAACCCTCCCCACGCCTTGTTATCCTCATAAATATTAAGGTTGTTTTTTTAAAAAAGTGTCCTTCCATAAATCACTCCAAGGGCACTACTTCCCCGGTCCCCCATTTAAATGCTCATCAACTAGAGAGACAGCAGTTCAAAAACACAAGCTTCTCTTGTCTTGCAGCTGCCACCAAAGACAGAAATCAAGAGCGAGAGACTGACAGAATCAGGAAAGAAAGACAACGCCCCACCCTCCTGAATATGCAAAAGAAGACTCCCAACACGTTGGTTCATAAGCACAATACTACAGAGGACCTAGCCCGAAAGAGCTCTGGCAGCTGACAGCAGTCCAGCAAATCCCTTGCACAATTCCTCTTGTAACAGTGGAAAGCAGACACTGGTGTGTACAACTTCGGTGTCTTTCTCCTGAGCATTTGCCAAGGGAGACCAGACTGTTTGCTCTTTCAGTAAATCTGAATTAAGCAGATGCAAAGAGCTCCGTAGCATTCTCTGTAACCTTGTGGCGTCATTACATATACAAGCTACTTTTCCTGGTAAGCTCAGCTGTTTGCTGGAGAATGGTCAGCCAGACATTTAACATAAGCCATTCTTCTTAATTACATGAGAACAAATCCTGTTTCCAACTGTTTATAAATGGTTTATTATCTTTCCCACAATTAATTTGATTGTTTGTCCTTGCAGGCAAAAATAATAGTATGAATGGTTTGCCAATAATAATCAACGTGAAGTATCTTGATAGAAGTTCCCAATTACTGCTCTACAGAATTCATTTTGCTGTGTTAAAATCAGTCACTGAAAATCGATGAAGAGAGGAGCTGGTTTTATAAATGATCACCTTTCCAGCATGAAAACGAGCACTTCAAGCAGCTCGGCAATGACTGTCATCTTTTAATTGACTGTATCTGGGATGTGTTTTATAACAACTTATTATGGAGGCCTATTTAAAATCTGATCCAAACATGGCTTGCGTAAGGATTAAGGAAGGGAAAGCAAAATTTCTTCTTGCTATCAGCAAATACTGTAAGATTATTTGCTAGTGCTGGGCAGGCTAATTTTCCCACTCCTTCTTCCCACCAGTTCTTATTATTCAATTTGATTTCACAGATTTAAGAGAAATTGCTTTCAAAAATCATATCAAAAGTTAAAAATCTCTCATGGATGGAATGCTGCACTCATCACTGTATGAAGTGATGAGGCAGTCAAGGTTTGTCCATGAATATTTTAGGTTTCATGGTAAAATTGTTTTTCAAGAGATCCTCAACTGGATTTTTTCAGTAACGGTGCTTCTACTAAGGAAACGGTGCTTCTGCTAAGAAAAACTCTCCTTCTGGAGAAAATTGAAGAAGGTATTCATCTTATGTTTTCTGTCCACACCCAGTTGTACAATCTTCATTTACTATTTTAATTTGGATGTGGCTCTATCCAAGTTGTAATAAAAGATCTATTTTCCCCCACAACAACCACCTTAAAAGAATAACAGAGATGGAAGGGATGTTGAAGGTTTTCTAGGCCAACCCTCTGCTCAAGCAAGAAACTCTATACCTCTTCAGACAAATGTTTGATCTCTTCTAAAAAACCTCCAGTGTTGGAGCCTCCACAACTTCTGATAATAAAATCCCTGGTTGTATAAACAGAGGCATAGAATCACGTGAAGTATTAGTTCCAATTTATAAATCCTTAGTAAGACCACACCTGGTATACTGCATCCAGTTTTGGTCACAAAGATATTAAGACTTTGAGAAAAGTGCAAAGAGCAACTAAGATGATTAAAGGTCTGCAGACAAAAACATATCAAGAACGGGTTTGGTTACAGAAAAGAAGAGGTAGGGGTGACATGATAGCAGTATTCCAGTATTTGAAGGGGTGCCACAAAGAAGAGGGGGTCAACTTATTTTCCAAAGCATCAGAAGGTAAGACAAGAAACAATGTTTGGAAACTAATCTAAGAGAGAAGCAACTTGAAACTTCCTAACAGTGAGGACAATTAACCAGTGGAACTTGCCTTCAGAAGTTGTAGGTTCTCCATCACTAGAGGTTTTTAAGAAAAGACTGGGTAGCCACCTGTTTGAAATGGTAAAGGATCTCCTGCTTGAGCAGCAGGTTGGATTAGAAGACCTCCAAGGTCCCTTCCAGCTCTATTCTGATTGAACTTGTTCTGTCATGAAATTTCTCCCAAGTCCTAGGTTGAGTCTCTCCTTGATTAGTTTCAACCCATTGCTTCTTGTCCTGCCTTCAGGTGCTTTGAAGAATAGGTTGACCCCCTCTTCTGTTCTCAGCTGTTCAAATATTGGAACACGTCACCCTAATCTTTCTTTCTATTAAACTAGACATATCCAACTCCTGCAACTGTTCTTCATATGTTTTAGCTTCTGGTATCCTAATCATCTTTGTTGCTCCTCTGTACACTCTTTCTAGAGTCTAAACATCTTTTTTATATTATGTTAACCAATACTGGGTGCAATATTCCAAGTGTGAAATATAACGCTTTCCAAAGCATTATACATTGTTACTAACACTTTATGTGATCTTGATTCTATCCCTCTGCACTAATTCACCTTGTGCGAGAGTTTGAGCTGAGAGAAACTGACTGGTCCTTTGCTTGTGGTTGCTCTCCCTGTTTCTAGTCCAAGATTTTTACTGCTATCTCCCATTGTCTCTTGTGTATAGAGCCTCTTGGTTGAAGCACAAATTCTGGTACAATCTGCATTAATCGATCGAGGACAATATTTGCAGCTCAAAGCAGCAATGAGGGGTGCACTGATGATGTTAGCTAGTTGGGTAATGAAACATCTGCAAGAAAAAATGAAGCTCAGAGAGCACCAAGGACTCCTCAATTGGCATTAAAGCCACCACTTCTTCTTTCTAGGAGAAACAAACAAACAAACAAAAGAGCCAGCTCTCAACAGAAAGGGACAAAAACAGCTTTCAGAAGTGCAAGTGGAGAAAAAGACAGAGAATGTCTGCAAGAATTGATAAAGAAGGGCTTTGTGTAGATTCCTTCCCCTTGCAAATGATCTTCTTCAA